AACCCACAAAAGCAATGACGAGCGAGTTGCTACAGATCAAAACTCCTCAAAAGACTGCTTGTTTTCTGAGATTACGTAACGATAGGCATGCATATGCATTAAAGATATAGCGCCGCGAACTTAACTTAGCATAGGGAAAAGCATGAACCTATCGCACAGAGAGAGATATACCTCTTTTGTTCGAGAGAGTTGTGCTGTTGTGGTCTTCAGATGAAGAAAGGGGATCTCTATTTATACCCACGTTTTGGGTCGCCACCTTCTTCCGACATTCTTCATCTCATTTAAAACATGGCCAGGTTTGCCAAACAAAATTACAATAATGTAAGACATATACTTCGCGCCAAAGAACCTTGTTTTCTTCCGCCCCTGGTTGGATGGTATAACGTAGATGGACACCACCTGCATTTTCATTTTATTAAATTTACATGTGTGTGATATCTATAATTTGTCGTTCACCTATTAGAAGCATGGTCGGAGGAAAATGTAGCCCTCGTACAAAATCAGCCGGCCAAATGCCGCAAGCGGACCTTTGAATGAGTTGTCCTCATTCGACCAGGCAATAAGAACATGTCCGATCTCTTTGCATATCAATATCGTCAACCCCTCTTAACGTACCTAGCATAATTTCTCTATTTCCATCTTACATTCGCTCCTGACCGAAGATGTTTAATTGAGTAAAGCTGCATGATGGGCACATGGAATGAATGTGTCTTATAAAGCTTCACTTGGTGTGCCAATTTTTTCAGCAAGGGCCAGATACAAGACCCAGGAATCATTAAATATGTATATATTCCTGCATGGGGAACAAATTGAAATAGAGGATATAGAAGGGTTGGAAACATAGATTAAAGATGATGTTTTACATTGTAAGGGAAATTAATGCATGAGTGCCATTTTTTTTTCTGTCCTATTTCTAATTCTTCTTATTTTCTGACTTTTGTTCTGTCTCTTACAGAAAGCGGGAGTCGAACTCCACACCTGAGATATTAGCGTTCCTATACCCCAATCCATTTGTCAGCAGGGCTGCATGCCTATTAGCGCATGAGTGCCATTTAACTGCTACCTTTGTTGCCCTCGTGCAGCATGTCATTGCTTCGCGTACAAGCATCGACGGGATTCCAGCTCCAACGATGACTTGGCGTGACCAGTTGAAGATGTAAGGGCATTATGCATTGTGTGATGTATAGAAAGAGGACCCTTCAAAATATAAGATTTTGTAAAAATCTTGCAACTAAGGGTGTGTTTATTTGAGAAAAAGTATTTTTTTTTAAATTAATTTTTCGAATTTTTTCCGTTTAGTTCGCCGAAAATGATTGGTCAATCGAAAACTCCTTCCGACCAAGAAAAATATTCTTGCATAAAATTAGGAAAGTGGATTTCTAAATTTAAAAATATGAAAACACTTTCCGAAATTGCTCCTCTTAAATTTGACAAGGGCCGGCCATCGATGCATGCCATTGAGGCTCAAGCTCGCTAGCCTCGTTGAAAGAGAGAGAGAGTGAGAGAGACGGGACGAGGGAGGGAGGGGTAGGGGTGTCAATGGGTCGAGTCAGGTCGGGCTTTCCTGATATCCAACCCGAAACGTACAGGGTCACGCTTGAACCGCCCCGCCCCGCCCCTACCCAAGACCCTATTCAGCATTTACTTCAAGAGATGGATCAGGTAGGGCCGGGTCAGTGCCGGTGCCGGTGCCGGTGCCGGTGCCACAACGCCAAAATCTCACTAGAGGTGGATAAATCGTCCTCCTGCTCAGTCTTTCTCAAGCAAGAGACAGGAGCGCAGTGGCCATGGAGGGTGCAATTATTTGCAAAACCAAGAAAAAGAAAAATCACATCCAATTCAGACTAGTCAAAGAAAGCTAATGTGGGGGCGGGTAGCGATGAAGGAGAGACTTGCGATCTGGAATGCGAGCGTAGGCGGACCGAGATGAGAGCCTAAGCGACGGCGACGGTGATGGCGATGGCGACGGCGACGGCGACGGAGATGGCGACGGCGATGGCAATGGAGACGGCGACGGCGACGAAGACGGTGACGGCGACGGCGGTGGCCGTGAAGCCCCGTGCAGTGATGGATAGAAGAGACAAGGGCTTCGCGCACAACTCTAAATGGCCGAAGCGAGTCCCATCGCATTCGAACGAGGCCGTCGTCAGAGCTTCAATTGGGAGAAGGTGAAGAAGACTGGGAGTCCATTCTTATCCATAGAACTTGGCAGAAGGTGAAGAAGACTGGGAGTCCATTCTTATCCATAGAATTTGGCTGGGAGTCCATTCTTATCCATAGAATTTGGCAGAGGAGCGACGGGAGATGCTAAAATATCTTTACTGCTGTGGATATTGGGTAAGTGGGTACTAGTGTCAAAAAAGCCTGACCCGGCCCAACCCTAACAATACTCACACTTAAAAACCCTACCCTAAAGAAGACTAAGGTCCGATCCCAAAATATCCTAAATTTTAGGGTAGGGCCGGGTCAGATTGGCATGGGCTTTTTTGACACCTAGGGGAGGGGTAATAGGTAATTTCCTTCCACAAGGAACAAGGATGGTCCTTGGCAAGCACGATGATTCCACGCGTGAAAGAAAAAGTATGTTGTCGAAGCTATCTCTCATATTATGGCGACATTCAACGTACTATAATTCATTTACAATAGTGATTTATGAACAAAAATCGCTTTATAAGTGGGCATTGCATCATTAGAAAAAGGATCACAACAGATATCATCAGTGGAAAAAGAAATTGACACGAGCAACATTCGATCGTCATCTATTATTTGCTATTGTTTTCTATAACCGGTAGATTACGCGTTGAAGAATTTTTCTCCACTTGTGGCATTGGCAATATAAAATTCAAAAAATATCATCATATCAATCTACAAATTCTTATTCAGGAAAATATTAATTAAGGGATTGAATTGGAGCCACTTTTCTTAAAAGAGGATTTTTTTTGGACAAACTTAAAAGAGGATTAAGAGTGGACCTAATCTAAAATAAGAATTCGAAGTGGCTAATTTTGTCTTATATAAAGGTGAGAAGTAGAGCCTTTTTCTATTAAAAAAAAAGGGCTCAAATCGACCTTTTTTTTCAAATAAGGTACTGAAGTGCCAACTTAATTTTAAATAAGAGACTAAAGTGAGGTTGTTTTCTCAAAAAGAGCCTAGAGTTGCCCTCGCATAAAAAAGGACTTGAAGTGGCCTACTTAATTTCAAATAAGGGCCGAGCTCCCTAGTTGGCTGATTTGCACATGTAACTCACGTGCTTTATTTAGATGGTAACATCAGCAAGCTGAGAACGACAGTCATGATCGAAATGGAGAAGTTACGTTGGTGATCTTATAATGAAAGCTGCCCTTAGAAAAAGCCTCGAAACAACCTAGCTTCAATTTGGGACTTTTTCAAATTGGGTCAAAGCAGAATATTTTGGAAAAAATTTGCTTGTGATGTTGCCGCCTTGCCATCGGATTAAGCACGTAAGTCGCACATGTAAGCTAGCCAGCAAAGATTTAGCCAACTGATAAGTTTAGGCCCTTATTTGAGATTAAATTTGTCACTTAAGACCTTTATTTAGAACAAAGTCCATTTTGGGTTTTTCTGGGAAAACGGCCTCTCTTCGCACTCTTGTTTGAAATTATGTCGATCACTTTAGATCCTTATTTAAGACAAGATCCATACTTGGATCATCTTTTGAAAAAGCGACCCAACTTCAAATCCTTATATATGATTAAGTTGGTTATTTCAGACCCTTGAGACAATATCAACTCTATGCCTTTCCGTGCCTTCTTTTGAGAAAGCGATCACGTTTAAGACTCTTATTTGAAATTTTCCTGTCTTGTTACGTATTACTTTTTAAGTCTATTAACGTGGTTCACGTGACCACGTCGAAAGTGCGCACGTATCACTATCGACCGTTCATCAGGGCGGGCCCTGCGATATTCTTATTTATTAAAGACGTGAGAAATAGGCAAAGGCGAGAAGGTCTACGATGGCAGGCGAGGAGAGAGATCTGACGTCCGAATGGGAAGGTGTACATTTGGCATTCGTGGTTCCGTCGACATCTGATCCCACCCCCTCTTCCCTTGTTTAGCTCGTGGCACTTTCTTTTGTTTGGTATAAAATATAATTGCACGTTGCAACAATTATAAGAAATTCCCGCTTGATTTTACTTTAAATATTTGTATTGGTCACTTATTAAATGCGGATTAATCTGTCTACTCAAATGCCCAAGCCATCAAAATCGATGGGTCAATCGCTTGACAATCTTGCTCAATGTTTTGCTTGGAAGTATGTATTGCAGCTATTCACACGTTTCCCTTTTGAAACACAACCTCAATTAGACATTAAAGTGAGGGATTTTTCGAGTTCCTTGGAACTAGGAGTGAGTGTGATCCAGGTTGAGCTGGTTCAACATCTGACCCGGGGACTAACCCGCACAGTGTTGGTCCTCAATTTTTGAGACAGGGAACCCTGTTGAGCTTGGTATCGAGGACAAGACCGACCCTGTGGGTCCGATCCGGTTCCAAGGTTAATCCGGGACCAAGCGATTCTTTTTTTGCTTCATTTTTGTATTCCTCGAAAGGACAAACATACATTTTGAAATAATAGATCCATCGACAATGCGATATTGAGTAACCAAACGGTTACAAATCAAACAAAAATCTAAGATAATGCAACAATAGAAATCTCCACTTGCCAAAAGCGACAAACCATAGAAGACAACAATTCAAAATATGTAAAATAAAATGAATTATAAAACTTCATATCTTGTCCATTCATAAAAGAATTAACATAAGAAAACAAAACAAACAAAAAATATAGTTAATACTTAACAATAGTTCTAAATTGAAATTACTATTCGTGCAATTGATAGAACATCTTGCCATTTATATTCATTCAATTTCTGTCCAATCCATAAACCTTTACCATGTAAATTATCTCCTTTGATTCTTCATGACTACTGTCTTTATATTTGTTTTGTCTTAGGTAAAATTTGGACCTCAACATGCTTGTAATTAAGAAAAGAATGCAAGGACTAGAACAATCGATTTGCCAAGTACAGCAGCTCATCAGTTTCTGTTTTTCTCCAGAGGAATTCTTAAATTTCCCCTTTCAAGAGTTACATCTATAGTTAGCAGGCTCGCAGCACCAAACAATACTTGACTCAAGCCTATGAAGGCTTTCCCTGATGTAACCAGTATCCTCATCTGAACAACACAAGCAATTTGCACTTTCACTGCTTTTGCGAGCGAGCAGTTGGTTTCCATAGAGATTGCCGGAAAGTTCCAATTCTAAGCTCCGGTAGCAAGTCCGGCATGGATCTTATCAATGGAATTCATTGCTCAAAACACCAATCTCAATTCACAAGGCAAATGGTGGAAATGTTCTTAAAAAACTTGTGCCTGTACATGCATAAATGATGACTATAAATTTCAAGATTTCCTAGGAACATGATGGATAACAAAATTGGAAGAAGGCGTGATTAACGTGGCTTATCATATAAACCGACTTAAGAGGGGCGAAAGCCACGGAAGTTAACAGCTTGGAACTAATAGCAGAAGTCAATTTCATGGTTGTTTTATTACAGATACTTACTTTCACGAGAGTAAGAGAGGAAGGCACCTTGGAGCTGCTGACTCAGGTAAAAGCAGGCACAAGATCCTCGTGGAAGAGGAATTTCATCACCAGTAATGCCCCATACACTCTTAAGCAAAAAGGAAGTATATAACCCTTAATTACATGAGTCCCTCCCACGAAATAAAACACAAACTGAGTGAGAACCAATCTGGAGTCATGCTTAAAAGGTGTAATGTCATAAGATTTTCCTACTCCGAATCACCCAAACCGGCTGTTGCTGCTTCCAATTATAGCACCGAGATGGTGGGGATCGAATTTGAGAAACTCCGCACACAATTTCCAACAAAATCAGAACAAACAACAGGTACTTGCGACAGTTTTTAAGACTCTTCGAAAAAGGCGGCCTTCCAAGGCTAATTCAATGAGATACATTGTTCATCTCAGGCGCAAACAGCACAGCATCCTCAACATACCCAAACCCACTAACGGGTGACCATAACATCGCATCATAATTTATAAAATAGGAGTAATGTACCTAGGATTTCAAAAAAGCCATCCTCCCACATAAGGGTGCTGAAGCGACATAGAACTTACCAAAAGGGAGAATTCAAGTTCTTCCTACTATGACAAGTCACCCCCATATACCAAGCTTAAGATCTAAACTATGCCCCGTTAGATCAATTTCAGCAAAACCAATCATCAACTCAACAGACAATGATATGCTTTCTGAGGGATATAATGCTAGCTAGAAAATTAAGGCCCTCCAATTAAGTCCATCTTTTAATGGAAGTTTCCAAGCAAGCTAAGTATACAGACTCATATCACCAACAGCTGCAAAAAGATTTGAACAGACAATGATATGTTTATGTTAAGTTCAGGACTGCTGAATGCTGAGGTAGAATGAACTCCATGAGATCGGGGCGGAGTGAAAAATGGTACTCTTTTCTTCTCGGGGTGGAAAGCGAACTCGAACAGTCTGTCAATGGTGATAGAGGAATCATATTGAGAAAAAGCAACATAGGATCGTACTAGAAGTCTAGACAAATGAATCGGTAGAAAGATCTCTGAGGATACCTTCAACTCATTGTATGCATAATATTATTGGGGATACCTTCCCCTTCCTCCCCCTAAAGCTTCTCGCCATGTATCTATCAAGGTCAGTAACTTCTCCATCGCATTAAAATCTGGCTGCACAGAGCATGTAGAAACAGCAAATGACAATCTCAAAAATGAACAGATTCAGAATAAAAGTCAATCATGGGGTACAGAGTAGGCACCTTTTTAAACAGGATAACAGACTCAATAATATTCTGAAATACGCTATTGCCACAGTTTTTGCTAAGTCTCCAACACCTACTTGAAATTGATAACCAAATATTTTAGGCAAGTGATAGCCGCCTCTTGTAGCCATTTAGAAGAAAGAAAAGAAGAGAGCAACTTGATCCAGAACTATGCACATATAAGAAAGCAGAGCATGATACTGACATAGAGGGTCGGAAGCTGTATTTTTGGATCTTTATTCCCCAGGCGCTTCTTCTTAAGGATCTTCATCACCTCCTTTGCCTTCCTACAGAAGTTAAACCAATTCAGCGACTAAAGCCAATGTCTTTGACGCAGAAATAACATGTAAGGAACCAGCAAAAAAGCAGTTGCACAATACAATAACTTCATTACTAAGATCCATGACATCTTGGAAGTTGGAACACCCCCGGTCTTGACAAGGCAAACGGTGGAATTGTTCTTAAGAACTTGTGCCTGTACCTGCGTAAACGATGACTATAAATTTCAATATTTCCTATGAGCATGATGGATAAAAAATTCGGAAGAAGGCGTGATTAACGTGGCTTATCATATAAACCGACTAAAGAGGGGTGAAAGCCACAGAAGTTAACAGCTTGGAACTAATGGCAGAAGTCAATTTCACAGTTGTTTTAAGGGAAAAATTCAGTCAACCTACCTTTGGAAATTAATCAACTTCAAAAGGTTACTAGATGAGGTACCGGTACATGCGAGTCAGATACTTCTTTTCGCAAGAGTAAAAGAGAGGAAGGCACTTAGGAGCTGCCGACTCATGGACTAGCAGGCACAAGACCCTCTTGGAAGACAAATCTAATCAGCAGTAATGGTCCGAACGCTCTAACCAAAGAGTAAGTGTATAACCCTTAATTACATCCCTCCCTGGAAAAAAAACACAAAATGAGCGAGAACCAATCTGGAATCATGCTTAAAAGGTGTAATGTCGTAAGATTTTCCTACTCCAAATTGCCCAAACCAGCTATTGCTGCTTCCAATTATAGCACCGAGATGGTGGGGATCGATTTTGAGATACTCGGCACACAATTTCCAACAAAATCAGAACAAACAACAGGTACTTGCGACAGTTTTTAAGAGACTCATCGTTAAAAAGGCGGCCTTCCAAGGCTAATTCAATGAGATACCTTGTTCATCTCCGGTGCAAACAGCACGGCATCCTCAACATGCCCAAACCCACTAACGGGCGACCATAACATCGCATCATAATTTATAAAAGAGGAGCAATGTACCTCCGATTTCAAAAGAGCCATCCTCCCACATAAGGGTACTGAAGCGACATAGAACTTACTAAAAGGGGAGATCAATTCAAGTTCTTACTACAATGAGAACCTATTACATCCTCTTTGTCACACCCATATACCAAGCTTAAGATCTAAACTATGCCCCGTTAGATTAATTTCAGCAAAATTAATCATCAACTCAACAGACAATGATATGCTTTCTGAGGGATATATTGCTAGCTAGAAAATTAAGGTCCTCCAATTAAATTCATCTTTTAATGTAAGTTTCCAAGCAAGCTACGTATACAGACTCATATCACCAACAGCTGCAAAAATATTTAAACAGACAATGATATGTTTATGTTAATTTCAGCACTGCTGAATGCTGAGGTAGAATGAACTCCATGAGATTGGGGCGGAGTGAAAAATGGTACACTCTTTTCTTTCTCGGGGTGGAAATCCCACTCCAGCAGTCTGTCAATGGTCATAAAGGAATCATATTAAGAAAAAGCAACATAGGATCGTACTAGAAGTCTAGACAAATGAATCAGCAGATAGATCTCTGAGAATACCTTCAACTCATTGTATGCAGAATAGTATTGAGGTTAACCTTCCCCTTGGTCTCCCTACAGCTTCTTGCCCTGTATCTATCAAGGTCAATAAATTAGCAGATTCAGAATATGGCTGCACAGAGCATGTAGAAACAGCAAATGGCAATCTCATAAATGAACAGATTCAGAATAAAAGTCAATCATGGGATATAGAGTGGGCACCTTTTTAAACACCATTCTAACCATTTCCTGTAGGATATCAGACTCAATAATATTCTGAAATACGCTATTGCCACAGTTTTTGCTAAGTGTCTCCAACACCTACTTGAAATTGATAACCAAATATTTTAGCCAAGCGATAGCCGACTCTTGTAGCCATTTAGAAGAAAGAAAAGAAGAGAGCAACTGGATCCAGAACTATGCACATATAAGAAAGCAGAGCATGATACTGACATAGAGGGTCGGAAGCTGTATTTTTGGATCTTTATTCCCCAGGCAGCTTCTTAAGGATCTTCATCACCTCCTTTGCCTTCCTACAGAAGTTAAACCAATTCAACGACTAAAACCAATATCTTTGACGCAGAAATAACATGTAAGGAACCAGCAAAAAAACAGTTACACAATACAATAACTTCATTCCTAAGATCCATGACATCTCGGAAGTTGGAACACCCCCAGTATTTTTTCTTCTCTTATGGAAAGTACAAGTAAAACTACACTAATAAAATATTTTTGAAGAATGAAGCTGCTATATGTTTGAACAACGCATAAGGACGACACTATTGAGGATGCTAATATGTACAGATCAATGTTCTCTCCAACATGTTTGATTGCATATCAAACTTCATAAGTCAAAAAATTGGGACAGCAAATAGCAGCATATTCCTCCAGCTTGTTAGCCATATGATTTATGTCATAATTTATCTCCCTCTTTCTTGTGAACACTCCAAGATAAGAGTTTAGAGAACATAATTGATATACATTCATGTATACAAATATATAGTTTTGATATAGAAGCATCTCGGTAATTGTGAATTTTCGAGTATGAGTATGAATTTCTAATCTTCATTTGGAAGTACAATCATACTCCCTACAATCGACAAACAATATTCAAATTCAGCAAGTTACATAACATGTTTCCGCATCGCATTCATGTCTTCATATTATAGTGATAGATGATAGCAAAAAAATTCATAGCATGCTCTGGATAAGGGTTATTTGTTTTCAGTAGCCTTCAACTTATTACCCAACTTTTGTATCTCGACATCCCACCTCGCACTTTTTTTTTCCATTTTTTCAGGTAAGAAGTAGCATTATCTTAAAAGTGGGTCAGTCACACAATGCTTTTTGTTGCTCTTTAGTAAAGAACGAAAGGTTAATTGAATCTCCCCAAGGATTTACATTTCTAAATAAATTCATGATTCATACGCTGTGTAAAGTGGGACTCCTGGGAGTTTCTGGAAGGATAAATCAAAGAGTCCACCAAAGACAGAGAGGCCGATGGATCACATTGTTAACAAACAGCAACGGACCAGCAACACTTTGTTCCAAAATCGAATATGCCAGGATGTATTCATCTAAGCGTTTAGAAAGAGAAAGAGTCTTTCAATTACAGGAATTATCACAGTACATTTCCGGATTCCTAAGATAGGTTTGTCATAGGTTGATTCGGTTCAACAATTCAAACGGAAGCATATTAAAGGAACTCCAGAAAAGTGGCCGAGAGAAAATTCAGCCCCCTCCATTGGTAGTAAATCAAAGAAAACCTGAGCAACCTCAAACATCCAAAACTAAGCCATGCCACCACGCCAATGCTTATAAAAAATCACAATTCTGCCCATTGTGGGGCTTCTATCAAGACAGATTTCTCAGTATACTAACAAGCCATCCCAATCGTTACTGGCACAATCAAAATCAACTTTCCCCATACAAAGACACTTTCAAGCGTCAAATTGCTGTAGGATCTAGCTAACGACTAACAGGGCCAAGCGATTATGCAAAATTCCAAATGAAAATATCGAAAGAGAAGAAAAAAAGGGAAGACATAGGAATACCCACCCTGGGTATCGTATAGCTCAATGCTAATACCCCAACCAGGGCCAATCAACAGATCACTCGTCGTCCTCTCGGCACAATCTACTGCATCCATAGCCTCTGCCTCTTTATTTCAAGGTTATCTTGCAAGTATTCCTGACAAGATCGACCCATCCAAGATGTCAATTAACATAAAATTCAAATTCCATGAAATTCAAGAACCTCACACGCCCAGCTAAAGTAAAAAAAACGCACCTAAAAATCCGGACAGAAAGCCCAGGATTCCTCTAACATATGCAAAAATTATCCACTGATCAGTTGGGTGATCACCTTTTTAATTTGTCTCTTACCCTTCAAATTCAAAGACAAAGATACCCGCTCCTAATATTGATCAAGGAGGTGCCAAAAGATCACATTTTTTTTGCCTAAAAGAGGAGAAATTTAATTTTGGCCACTTCAGTAATGGAAATTTTTGGAGCCACTGCCAGTTCTGCCCAGCCTACTACCACCGAAGGAAGGATCCCCATCCGCGAAAAAAAAACTGAGCCAAAGGGCTTCGACCTTCAAAGGAAATGTCAAAGGGGAGGGAAGTTGCTCTCCCAAGAAACAGCTGAGCGAGCTTTTATCAAGGACAGTTGCAGACGCTACTGAATCTGGTGCAGCCACCAGTGCACGAAAGCAGCTAACTCCTAAACCCAACTGCAGCAGCAGAGATAACTCCACCACAACCTGGCCTTGTTCGCATCGGGGCTGGGGGCCACAGAGAGAGAGAGAGAGAGAGAGAGAGAGAGAGAGAGAGAGAGAGAGAGAGAGAGAGAGAGAGAGAGAGAGAGAGAGAGAGAGAGAGAGAGAGAGAGAGAGAGAGAGAGAGAGAGAGAGAGAGAGACGGGGGCCACGGTGGTGGTGGTGGAGTGCGACGGTGGGTATGGCAGCTATAGGAGCGCCTCGAGGCATCATCGACCATGTCAAGGTATCGGTGGCTGCCGGGGGGCTCAATCGCATCGGAGGAGGAGACGCCAAAGCCTTGCCAAAGAGAGAAAGGGAAGCCCAAATCATCACGGACATAATTATTATTATCATTAGAAAAAAATTAAGGGATGAGAAATTTGTCAAAATTTAATTATAAAAAAAAAGGACGAGAGACGGTGATCTTAAATCCAAATTGTGGGAGGGACGGGTTTATTTATTGAATTGGCACTTGCAGTTGCAGTTGCAGTTGGAAGATACAAACGAGAGGTGAGGTTAGAGAGAGAGAGAGAGAGAGAGAGAGAGAGAGGTGCTTATTTGCTGCTACTTTCGTTTTGTTTCCCCTTCATCTTCATTTTAACATCCCCTTACCCCCACGTTACAGGAATCCCAACACCAGAAAATTACATCACTATGGAAAGACGAACGAAGCCACCTTTTTTTTATTATTATAAAAAAAACAATATTAAACTTATCAGCCTCAACTCACTCACTCGGCCCCCCACGAGATAGGAATCTAATCTTGGCCTAGACCCAGGACTCATCTTTTACTTTACGTGCTGTCTCTCCAAATGTCATTTCTTTTGCGGGGCCCTCCACTGCATCCAACTTCAAAGTGACCCGGGCAGTGGGGTCCCACTCTAACTCGGCCCACCAGCGTTTGTCCCCCACGACCTCGAAGCTTCCCCTCGCGCTGCTCGAGTCCAACGGCAACTTTCTGAGATTAGGGCAGTCCAATATGTCCAAGCTTACCCCCTGGGGAAAGTATAGAGCCTGGTCGCAAATGCTCGTTAGCTTGGGAAGACTGATCAGTTGTAGGGATTCGAGACACGAGAATAGTCCCGAAGCAGCTGATTCCTCCCTTGCAAATCCATCCCTAATGATTTGCTCCATCGATTTGTAGGATAAGACCATCAGTTTCCGGAGCTGCGGAGCGTGCACGAGCCAGGACATGTCCGAAAGCCCGCAATTGTTGACCAAAACTTCAACGACATTGGGGAAGCAAGAGCAGTTGGCCGTTTGTCCTACTCCTTGAGTTATCTTCATCTCACTCAACTCGGTACATCCAAATAAATAAAGCGTATCTACATGCGAGAAACCGTCAGTGCTTGCTGATGAGTAAGTTATTACGATGCTAGTCAAGTTACCATTCCTATTATAAATGCACGCTCTCCTTATGCTTCTCCGTAAATTTGGGAATTGAAATATTTTCTGAATAGAGGAAGACTCGTGCACATAGATAGATAAGTCGGTGAGATGTCGCATGCACTCTAGTTCCTCTACCGTCTCTTCTTCCTTCACTAAATAATGATCCCCCACAGGTGTTCTAGTCTCTCACTGGCTGAACACATTCAACGGTAAGCTTGTGATTGCCCCTGTTGGAATAAAGATGTTTCTTTCCGACATATTGTCTAGTAGCAACCACCGTAAACGAGTCAAGTTCTTGATTTCTTTGGGTAATTCACTAATACCGGTGCCCGACAAGTTCAAGTACTTTAGATTAATCAGATTGCAAATCCCTTCTGGGAATGACTTGATATGTCCATTGTCGGACAAGTTCAGGACAGCCAGACAAGCCGTCATCGAGTCAAAAAATCCACTTGGCAAGCCAATCACTCTTGTTTCCCTTACAAACAAAGTTCCGAGCTTGGAACACCCGGATGGTATTTGATCGATATTCCGAATCCATTCTCCCCATATAGATACTTTCTCTGCTTTCCTCCATTTGGAGATCATCTCCTCGGACATGTCTTCTTCTTTCTCTATCACTAGCAACTTGTTCTTGCTTTTCCCTTTTTCACGAGCGATCCATGTCGCCATGTCGCGGATGACGTCGTGCATCTTTACATACTCTCTTTCGTCACGGTTTACATAGTCTCTTTCGTCACGCCCACTCTCCAATAGGCAAGCCCTATTTAACCTCCCCAAGACATGCTCTCCCTTGTTACGCAAACTGTATACATCACCGGTGTCTCCTAACAAGCCCTCTCGAATCCATGGTCCAATAAGGTCGTGCGGTCTTATGCGGTAATCCTCAGGGAAGAGACAACAGAAAAGGAAGCAACGCTGAAAAGTAGGGTCAGTTAATTTATCATAACTGAACTCTAATATGCGGTACACTTTCTCCTCCATACCTGATAACTCGTATGGATTTTTCTTGAGCTTTGTCAGCGCATCCTCCCACTCATGGGGATTGTCTATGCCGGGCATGGCTTGCCCGACGGTAATAAGGGCTAGTGGCAACTCTTCGCACTCTTTGACAATGTCCTTGGCGAGCTCTTGAATTTCTGGATTAGAATTTACAATCGATTTGCCGACGTTGTTCTCGAATAATTCCAGGGCTTCTTCGGGCGTCAAGTACTGTACTTTGAAGGAGGTTTTGTTGGCTCCCATTTGGCTGCATACGTCCTTCGATCGAGTCGTGAATACTACTTTGGATCCGTTCTCAAAAACAGCATCAGAAACTCCGATTTTGGGAAGGCCCAGCCTCGCCCATACATCATCAATCAACAATACAAACTTCTTCCGGGTTAAAACTTCCTGCAAATGATGGACCCTCTCATCCGGGGACCATCCTTTCCAGCTCTCGTCTTTAATGTCCAGCCTTTTCCTCATAGCGTCTCGAATGCTATCTTCATTCACTTTCTTGGACACCACCACCCAAATAACGATATCGAATCCAGGATTTGCATGCGAAAGCTTCTGGTTGATCTTTTTCATGAGGGTGGTCTTTCCCACACCACCTGGGCCGTACAACCCAATCACTCCTGCTTGTTTTTCGTCGACGAGCCATTTCCACACTTTATTAAGGGCACTATCAAGCGCCACTGTCTTGTCCACAGGTATGTTAATTACCGAAGGAGAAGGCAACGGCACCGTCAGATTGCCAAATTGTCCTTCCTCAGTTTGGAGGTTTGACGCTTCAATGAGCATTCGATCGACTGTTTCCCCCAATTGATAACTCGACCAGCAGTGCCGTGGAAGACAACGACTGAGACATTTGATTCGGTCACGCTCCTCGGCTTCTTGAAGAACTTGATCTACTCTACGTTCAAATTCTTGCATGTTGCTTAACCAGCTCGCCACTTGATTCGTGCGCTTCACACCTCCTCCATCTTCTTCACATTTCACCCTTGCTTTCACGTCTTCGCTCTTGGCCTTCAGGTTGGCAGTTGCGGAATTCAACATGTCGACATTATCTTTCAGATTATAAATGGAGCACAGAGGTTTCCTGGCCAAGCCCCATAAACATTTGACGAGATCTGAAAGAGGATTTGCGCACTCCATCGATTCTTTCGGAGGTGAGAGATCGAAAAATTGAGAGCCGGCAAATGGGTGGAGTTCGATTATAGAGAGAACCGTCTCGTAAGATGCCGTTACACACTCAATCATAGAGGCCAAAAGTAATGGCAGACAATATTACAACGATACAAGCCAAATGGCAGACATAAGTACAAGCAAGCGGAAAGTAACGAATGGTGGAAAACACAACTTAGTGGGCTGAATCATTGCGCATGCGGACAAACAACTTTTTAGAAAGGTGGATGAAGGAAGTAGAGTGCTGCTTACTACTTCTCTCTATACAATTACCTACTTTTCCACGAAACTCTCTAAATTGTTACCATGCATATTCATGAGGTTTGAATATCTTTCATGCAAGATACCACTGATCCTTGCTTCCGAGGAATTTTAGGATAATGTTAATCATACATTGTACTATTTTTAAATACATTGATTCTTTGTTGATTAGATAGATTATTCATAGTTTTATACAAAGAGATTTTTCCTAGCACTGTTATGTAATTTCCGTAATGGAGATTACTTTTAAGGAGAAAATAATTTTTTTCAATGGGCAATAATTTTGCAATATTTTGAATTGGCAACTTTAATTTGTAAAATTAATACCTGTGTAATAGAAAATTGTAACTTTTTGAAATAGTTTAGCATTACTTTTACTCTTTTTTTTGCGAGTCATTTTACTTGATCCACTCGTTCAGTTACATGCGAATTAGCTATAGTTGTAAGGTCAAGCGATAGGGCGGTGAAGCATTAACTTTTGACAAATCAAAGACTGCACATTAAAATCCGTATGCATCATGCATTTAATTATCCAAACATACAAGGTATAGGTCATAAGTAGTAAAACAAATAGAAACAGATAGCAAAGAAAAGCATTGCATAGGCATTGTTAAGTTGTATTAAAAAAAACAGATTAATAGCAACATATCGAGTTCTAGTGGTTGCTTGTGAAATAATTAGCATAACTTAATGAAGTTTAGTCCAAATTACTAAAGGAAATTTAATATCAAAGTGAGAAGTTGGATAAGCGATCTCGACAACAAAAAACTAATGCACATACCACAGCGTACCTGAACACGAAGAAGTAACCCATGGTGCGAAATTAAATTTTCCATCGCACTAAGATTATTTGTAAGATGTGTGGCTTAATATGGTGAACTGTGGTGGGATGACGATCACGTGCTTGCTCAAATGAGCAATAGTCATTGCTCAAACCGAACATTTTGTCATGAGCATGGAACTCCTATGATAACACCAGTGGGGTCATTGACGTTGGTTGCCCCTTCTCATCCTTTTTACTCAAATAACCCTCCTGGCATTTTTCCTGGTTCTGAAAATGACAGTAATCCACATGACATTAATAATAGTGACTTCTTTAAGTAGTGAAAAGGCTGTTAATAACGAGTGTCAACCTATTTCTTGGCCGAATGAGTGACGACCTTAACTCGCAAATATTTAGTGACCTAAAATAAAAGTTTCATCAGTTGCATTACTCATGAGTTTGTTG